ATACTTTGTCTAACTTGTAAGTATAAAAAAATATGTAATTAATTATAATATTAGCATGTTAAATTTGTAATTTCTTTTTTCTTTTTATGGTTTTTAATTGTTTGTAACACAAAGTTACTAACTACCTCACTTTAAATGCAAGGCAAGATTAGTTTATTTTTATAACACAATTTGGTACATGAACAATTCAAATTGCTTTCATTAATTAGACAATAAAATAAAAAAAATAAAAAAATAAAAGCATAATAAAATAAAGATAAAAACATGACAAAAGCAGGTAATTAAAAGTGTTATGTAACCTCACAAAAGGTGCAACTTTTTTTTTTTTTTTTTTAGCTCTTATGCATCCCTCTTGCTAATGCCGCCCTGGGTAATAGTTAAAATCCGGTTAAAAAAATGTCTTGTTAGTTAGCATTAGGCTGAGAAAGAACTAATTTCAATTATTATTGTTTAACAGAGACCTTTTGACTGTTCTGCATGTCTGACGCCTGATTCATGCAGATGCCCTTATGTGTGTGTCTTCTGTTCCGTTGCTTATATAGGCCTTCCTCTTTAATGTGGTAATTCCAAACAGCTCTGTTGTGTTGCAGCATAATGGAAAGTCCATTGTGTTTTCCGTCAGATAGATATGGAGTCTGTACATCTATTTTGGCTGATCAGACATAGATAGAATGAAGCAGATTCTGTACAAGAGGTGATGCATTGGTTAATCTTACGAGCCTCAAAGTTTTAACTGCTGCATCTTACAAGGAATAATTGAGTGCAAACAAAATGCTCTTTGAATTAAGCAGATCTTAGGTGTGTCTCTTTTCCAGCACATCTGAATTAAATACAAATATTCCAACCATTACATTTACCTAGGACTCCACAGATATGTTAATCACCAATTTACTCCTAAACAACATATTCTCATTATCAGTGTGTATGAAATCGTACGAAAAGTTATGCACACTATTTCGAACGTTTTGGAAGTTTTTCCTCAAAAACCAGATCAGTGCGCATGCGCTAGCAGACAGAAAAAAAAAGAAGATCCGCGGACGGACGTAAAACTGGGAAAAACAGTGCAATCATCACTTATTCATGTCTCTAACTACATTGCTTGCTGTTTTATATCTTAGGGTTAGGGCTAAATTTATATTCTATATTCGTGAATGGTGCGTCAGATGCGCATGCGCATACAACGGAAAAAACGTCCAAAACGTACGAAATTACGGTGCATAGCTTTTCGTACGATTTCATACGCACTCATAATGAGAATAGGTTGTCCTAAAACATGCAGGACTTGGGTTGTGAGGAACCAAATTAAACCTCAAGCACAAACCTCAAGACAAATTGAGAGCATCTAGAGAAAGAACAGGACTGGAGGCAAGACTGAACCCTGAGAAAAAACAAAAACAAACAATCTTTTTGGGAAGTAATTGTTTCAGAGGCTGACAGATTTATCTTACCAAATGTGAAGTGAACCAGTGTACCACTAATAGCACACTGTGTGACGACATTGAAATGTATAGGATCCAATAAACAAGGAGGACTGTAGGGACAGTCCCTATAGTTATATGGCAGAAGCAGCTTCTGTATGTTTGGCAGGGCAGACTGCATATCGTGCCCATTCTTGAAACTGTATTACTTGTCTGATATATTTTGCTGAAGGTATAAAATACTATTCTGAAAATGTATTTATTCTTGGACAAGCTGTTATGTTAATATATTAGTTAAAAGATGGGGTAAAAATGAATAATACTGTTAGAGTAATCGTTAGACTGCCTTTTTGATTAGAGAGAGTTAGAAACATCTCATTGGACAGCAATTATGATGGCGTAATAGAGGATGGTGGTGAGAAGTTTCTAAAAGGTTCCTGCACAGGGACCTCTTTGGCAAACAGCATCAGCCACTGATGCACCACCTGCCTGTAAGTGTCTATTGAAAGAATTTATAGGAGTGATGCCGTAGAATTGTTCCTCTTAAAATGTAATTAGATGCATTTTCAGTTGTCTTCTTTGATATATGTTTTTTAATTCTAGGGCATGGACTCAGAGATGACCCTGAACACCACTGATATTGTGACTTACACACATCCATGCTATGAGATTATTGATGTTGGTTACAAACTAACTTCAACTCCTTCAGTTATATGTGTGTTGTTGTATTGTTTTCTTATGCTTTTATCTATTGTAACTGTATGTGGGAATCTCCTTGTAGTGATCTCAATCATTTACTTTAAGCAACTGCACACACCCACAAATACTCTCATTCTTTCTCTGGCTGTTGCTGATCTTCTCGTTGGGATTTTAGTATTTCCTCTCAGCATGGCATTCTCTCTTAGTTCTTGCACTTACAATGAGAGTTTATTTTGTAAGGTCAGAGACAGCTTTGATATATTGTTTAGCACATGCTCTATTATGCACCTGTGTTGTATTTCAATTGACAGGTATCATGCAATTTGTCAGCCTCTGACGTATAGGTCAAAGATCAACCGTCATGTAGTCTTCATCATGATTGCTGTGAGCTGGGGAGTTTCTGCTCTCATTGGAATTGGTGTGATAATTCCTAGATTAAAGAATGAACAATGTTTGGAAACCTGTTTTGTTGATGTTCTGATGGCAAACACTGTGGGACCTATATTGTCATTTTACCTTCCAGTGGTTATAATGCTTTGCATCTACCTTAAGATTTTTCTTGTAGCACAGAGACAGGCACGGAGCATCCAAACCATAACAAAGTCTGGAGCAACTGCCAGTAACATGGAAAGAAAAGCAACCAAAACTCTGGCTATAGTTTTAGGAGCTTTTCTGTTTTGTTGGACACCTTTCTTCATTTGCATCACTTTTCTGCCTTTTATCAATAGTCCAGTGCCAGTGTCGGTGATTGAAACTCTTAATTGGCTAACTTTATCCAACTCTATGCTTAATCCTTTTATCTATGCTTTCTTTTACACCTGGTTCAGGTTAGCCTTTAAAATGATTGTTTCTGGAAAAATACTTCAAGGTGATTATGCTAATGCCAGACTGCACTAATATTAGTGTATAAAAGTTTTTTTTTTTATTGTAACATAATAATTGCACAAGATTTTTTTTACTTCAGTCCTGCTCTATTTAAAAAAAACTCCAGCAATGATAACCAAACTAAAACCTGATTTATTGTTTCTGTTTACAAATGTATCTTAAAGGAAGGCCTTTTTATGTTCTGGCATCAAATGCAAAGGAAGTAGAGTTTTCCTTTTGTCTTCAGAAAACTGGAGGTCCTATTTTTGTTTTCAGCTTAAAAAAATATACCTTTTTCATGGAATTAGATCATATGTGAGCCTATTCATAACCATGGGATATGGGTTGTACACAATAGTTGCAGCTCTAAGTTGTTACTGCTTTAGCTAAGGAGTAGAAACATAAAAAAGGAGATCATAAAAAATGTATTATTGATAATATTTATTTCAACATAAAATAAATGAAATTAACCTCTTAGAGCAGGAACAGGTCTTGAATTGATTTTTTTTTGTTTCTAGAAAGGAACTTCCACACCTTTACATGTAAAAGTTTAGATTTTTAGTGGAATCGAACAATGTAGGTGCGTTTTGATATGAGCAAAGTTTCAGGGATGTTCCAGATTCCAAATACACCCAGAAGTTTTTCAATTTACAGCTCCAACATAGCTACTGTTCACAAGTTTGAATGGCCGATCAAAATGAGGGACCAAAACAGGGCTGAAAGAAAGGAGTACCTTAGCCTCATCAAAAGCTTGCTGACAAGATTGGGACAAAATAAACTCTGAGATTATTTAGTTTATCCATTAGAACCACAAAATTGGAAAAGCAGAGTGAGATACGTAACAGAATCATTGTTTTTCATAGATATTAGCATATATAAGGAGAAAAATGTCTATACCTACTGGCTTTGAAATATAGCCCTCAAAAGATCCCATTTCAGTTCTTTAAATTTGGTTAATGATGTAGAACCAAAAGCAGCTAAACGAACCTATGTCTGGTTTGAAAAGGCATCTATCCAACTAAATTCAGTCAATGTTTGGTGATTAAAAACCTGGATGACTATTGTCTTCAAATGCTAATAGCTCTTTAAATCCCAACTCCTTAGTTTCTTTTTCACTGTAGATGACTTAGGTTTGTATAGCTATTTATATTAAAACAAGAATAACTGCAAACTCTGCCTTGTTGTTCAGGCTGAATGAAAAAAGAACTAAATAGTTTCAAGAGTTTCTTCTTAAGGATATATCTAAAAACAGTAAGTCAGTGTTGAGGTTTCCAATATAAAAGTCTATCTGCATTGCATACTTTTCTGTTGGAAGCGGCCTAAAAAACATATTTTTTTTAATGTGTAATTTTTATGATTAATTCTTTTCCTAACATTTTTATGTGGATTAGAAGTACCTTTAGTTCTACACTAATCCACAACATGTGTGGTAAATTATATAAGCTTTCTTTTGTTAAAAGGACTTGATTGTTTGTCATTTGGCCCTTTGTAAAAAGACAAAGTTAAATTGAGTAGGATAAAATGCACTTGTGTTCAATCCAGTATGTTTTCTATAAGACTTCCTGTAGCCTACATGCCACTAACTACTTTACTTGTCCCCATAGTTAGTGAATCAATACGGTGTCATTGAAAATGTATGACTGATCTCATACACGTGATGATAACACTTTAACTTGCCTTTGGGATAATAAAGAGTGATTTGTCAGTGACTGGTCTCTGGGTTCCTGCCTGAATATCATTGGATGAGTTTTGGAATAAGTAACACAATAAATATCAAGAGAGGGTGATGCAGCAGCATGACAACAAGAGTGTCACTCTGACTCTATTATGCTTTGGTTCATTCAGATGTGCTAAAAAGCTGCTTTGAGAGGCAGGCTTCCTTGTTGTTTTACTATAATTAATACAAATAATTATTGTTTGAATATTTAGTCAATTTAAAGAGTAATGGAAGGTGATTTAGGTGTTTATATCAGTTATGACTTTCATCCTTGCTATGAAATTAACAATGTTTCTAAAACAATGAGAAGAACTTCTTCTACAATTTGCACTTCTCTCTACATTTTTCTTGGTTTACTGTCTGTTATTACAGTGCTTGGAAACATACTTGTAATAATCTCAATCATTTACTTTAAGCAGCTCCACACACCATCTAACTATCTGATCGTCTCTTTGGCTGTGACTGACCTGCTTGTTGGGGTTGTAGTCTTTCCTCTAAGTGTTTCTTTTTCACTCAGCTCCTGTCTGCATTACAGAAGCTTATTCTGCAAAATACGAGACAGCTTTGATGTCATACTGAGCTCAACCTCCATTTTAAATTTATGCTGTATTTCTGTTGACCGATACTACGCGGTGTGCCAGCCTCTGACATACAGATCAAAGATAAACAACAGTGTTGTTCTGGTTATGATCTTTATAAGTTGGGGAGTTTCTGTGCTTGTTGCGATCGGTTTTGTTATTGCAGAGTTAAATCAGGACAAATGTCAAGATAATTGTTTTTCTGATGCTGTGCTTGAAAAAATTTTGGCCCCTGTTATCTCATTTTATTTACCAGTGATCATAATGCTGTACATCTACCTGAGAATATTTCTTGTTGCACAAAAACAGGCTCGCAGCATTCAGATTACATCAAAGTCAGGAGAATCTGCCAGCAACACAGAAAAGAAGGCCACCAAAACTCTGGCTATAGTTATGGGGGTATTTCTAATGTGTTGGTTTCCATTCTTTCTTTGTTTTTCTTTCCAGCTATTAGGTGGTGTTTCAGTGATGGTGTATGAATCTCTTAACTGGCTTGCACTGTCCAATTCAATGCTCAATCCATTTATATATGCTTTCTTTTACAGCTGGTTCAGGTCAGCATTCAAAATTATCATTTCTGGAAGAATTTTTCAGGGTAATCTTCCTGACACAAAACTTCTTTGAAGAAAGTTTGAACATGAGGGCGAATATCCCCCCAGCCCGAAGCAGATAATACTAAACCTAGATCTATTGGGTAAAACTGAGACTTTTTTTAGCTGGATATAAATCAATTAGTTTATTGCATGGTGACAGACATTGTTTGTGTGACATTGTCATATACAGTATATGTTTTTTTTGGTTTTTTTTTAAACTGAAATAAAAAGAAATTGAGATGAAAGTGTTTTACATGCATACTGTATAATTTATACATTTTTCTTTACAATTTAATTTAAGACCTGAATGTTTTACAGTTATAAAATTAAACACATGAAGAAATAAGCATAGATATAGGTTAAAAATCTTAGCTGTGTAATAACAAAATGAAAGCATCAATAGAATAATGACGCAAAATGTTTTAGGATCCTGTGTAAAAGGTAAGTCATTGCATCCCATGTCATGTTATGATATGAAATTAACATGAAACTTATGAAAACATATGATTCGTCTGGTAATTTAAACAATAACTATTCTATACAAAAATTTAATTCCTATCTTATTAATTCAAAGTTTTTTTCTCTTGATCCTAAACAACATTGTCAATGGAGTCATAAAGAGCGCTATGCAATGGCAAACTAAAATTTTGTTTTTACATGTCTGTAGGCCGATACTTTACTATACTAAAGTGCATGTATGATCCCAGAGGCTATGTTGTCAGGGCTTGAATGCCCTGATAAACTGAACAAACTGATATTGGTCACATAGATAAGGTTTAAACTAGTCTAGTGCTGTTCCTTTAATTCCTATAAAATATTCAAGTCTTTCTAAAAGAATATTATCATCAACTGTGTCAAATGCAACACTGAGATCTAACAGGAGAAGTACAGATACAAGTCATACAAGTTATCTGAGGCCATGAGAATATCATTAGTGACTTTCACCAGAGCTGTTTCAGTGCTATGTGGTGTAATTGGTCACACACTTGTTTGGCAACTACTTTCTCAAGTATTTTAGATAAGAAAGCAATATTGGATATACGTCTATAATTGACCAAGTCATCTGGGTCAAGAGATGGTTTCTTAAGTAAAGGTTTAATCACAGCAGCCTTAAAAGCCTTTGGTACATATCCCTGTACCAGGGGGAGATTAATCAGATCTAAAATAGAGGAGGAGATCAAAGGGAATACCTTCTTAAATAACCTGGTTGGAACTGGATCTAACATAAACGTTGAAGGCTTAGATGAAGACAATGGTTTTGCTAACTCTGAAAGCTCAACTGGAACAAGGCAGTTTGAACTGGGTTCTGATTCTATGGCTAACTCAGATGCTGCTTCATCTTCCAGACATAAACCAATCATAGTTATAGGAGTGCTAATGATCTTATTTACAGATTACAGAGCTTAGGTGTGTCTGTTTTCCAGCAAATCTGAATTAAATAATAGTATTCCAACTACATTTACCAAGGACTCCACAGATCTGTTAATTACCAATTTACTCCTGAAATATGCAGGACTGAGGAACCAAATTAAAGACACCTCAAGACAAATTGAGAGCATCTAGAGAGCATCTAGAGAAAGAACAGGATAGGAGGAGAGACTGAACCCCGAGAAAAAACAAAAACAAACAATCTTTTTGAGAAGTAATTGTTTCAGAGGCCGACAGATTTATCTTACCAAATTTGAAGTGAAACCAATGTACCACTAATAGCACATTGTGCGATGACCTAAACATGTAAGTGCTAATGATCTTATTTTTAATAAAATCAATCATATTTATTATAAAGAATCCCATAAAATAATTACTGCTAAGAGCAGGTGGTATGGACAGTTCAACAGAGCTATGGCTCTGGGTGAGTTTGGCAACTGTATTGAAAAGATATTAGGGATTATTCTTATTCTACTCTATTAATGACGAGATATATGCTGCTCTTTCTTTATGAAGGATGCTCTTATACAGCAGTTAACTATTTTTCCAGACTAGGTAGAATTCCGATAGGCATGTAGAGCACCATTTTCTCTCCAGTTTCCTAGCATTTTGCTTTAGAGTGTGCTGCTCTGCACCAAACCAGGGAGCCAGCTTTCTATTTTAAATGTTTTTCTTTTTTAAAGGGGCTGCATTGTCTAAGGCAGTACATAGAGAACTGGCATCCCAATCAGCAAAATCATCAACCTGTGAAGTGAAATAAACTAAACCTTTGCACTCTGCAGTACTGCTCAGCGACACAGAGGAAAGAGAAAGTGAACCAGATCCTTTAAAATTTATAACTACACTATCTGATAATGATCTGCTAAAGTGAAACTTTCTTTTGAGGGAGGTGAACTCTTTTAAAGGATTCCTGAAGGTTATTTAAAATTGGTCAGAGAGGATAGGCAATGAGGAAATACTGTTCTTTCTTCACATTCAATGCATGTCCACAAGGTCCAAAGTATGAAGATGAGAATGTGTGGGACTATTTATATTTTGAACAGAGCCATGTCTTCAAGACTACAGACATGTCTTGAAGACATAAATACCTGGCAGACAAAACAGAAGTTATAGTCTTTGGACCTGAGTCTTTAAAAAAGAAGCTAATTAGTCAGTCACTTCATTTGGATGGGATAAATTGATCTCACATAGTAAAGTAATAATCTTGGTGTTATTTTTGATCAGGGCATGTCATTTGATTCCAAATCTACAGTGTTGGGCACGTTACTTTGAAAAAGTAATTAGTTATAGTTACTAGTTACTTCTCCCAAAAAGTAACTGAGTTA